ATGCCTTGGGGTTTCCACATTCTGCATGCCAGCAGTGTGAGGTTCACCACCGGACCAACCTTTTCCTTCATCTTCTTCGTCTTCTTCTTCTCCTTCTTCTTCTGCTGTTGCTCCCCGTCAAGACAAGGGCCCAAGCCAAAAATGAGATTACCACCACAGGAGCCGCAGACACACCCCTCGGGTATACAGTCAGACAAACACACACCCTGTGTCGGACACACCCCTTGGCAACTGCGTTAGAAATGCCCTGAGGTAAGGCAAAACACAGCCCCTCCAACAAACAGAGACAACAAAGAGAGCAGGAGGGTGCTGTGGAACTTCTTGCTCATCGGTAAGAAGTCAAAGAAGAGTGAGCTTCAGACAATGAGCTTTTATGAGTACTTTTTTGCAAGAACACACTTGAATTGAACTACATTTGATCTTAACACTCCATCAGATTTAATTCAAATATGTGCGCAAGTAAAAGAAAGATACAGCAGGGGTTTTATGTCACGGACAAAGTGGCTGGTTCCATTAAAACAGTTTGATGTCTGAGCTTAACCTTGATCATAATTATGTTTAAAGGTTCTTTATGTAACTTTTTATTTGTTAATTGCTTTTTATTGCAAATGGGGGGATGGATTGTAACGTAACTTAAAAACTGAGACCTTCCCAGACTTTCTGGGTAGCCTATGGACAGATTTTTATGTAAAGGACTCGGGACAAATTTTTGTGCAAAACCCAAACGACGTAATGTTATGCACACTCCTGAGTGCCCTGCGTCCTCTCAGCACCGCTACAGCACTGACGCCGTGTTTCGGCACCCCTGCTGGCCACCAACAACATTAGTCATCAATATTTGTTTGAATGTAAGTAGCATCATTGGGTGACCAAAATACATCCATACAACATCCAGTGCCAGTGCCATATGATGGAGAACATCGGGCTGTTCTCACAGATTTTTTGTATGTTTTCCTATGAAAAGCAACGCACCCAAATCCCTACATATCCCACATATTTTGAAAGGCTGCGGTCACGTGACCAATGCGCTGACGGCAGTAAACAAGGACTTGGACTTTCCCCTGAAGTTGCATGTTTTGATTCATGTGAACTTTTATTCATTTTAAAGTACGTTCTCGCTATGTTTCTTTTCTCGGACCTAACCTCAGTAACTTCCATAACTTTACGTTAAAGTCATTCATGGGGTGCAAATTTGTAGGATATCATGAACTGTTGTGTATGCATTTTTTGTAAGATGTACGAACCATTCTCAGGAGGAGTTTTACAAACGCATCAGAGATCACTGAGGTACTCAACCTCCTGTCGACTTGCATACTATGCTGAATGAAAACGAGGCCTAACAGTGCAACAGTAGCTAATTTTAGTGTAGAAATCAAGTCCACTAACATGAAGTGCTGTGCTGTGTTTTTGTGATTCTACAGCCGCTAACCTTCGCTTAGCCCTGGGGTTTGCCCCTATCAAAACAAAATCCAGCAATGTCCAACCCATTCTCACTCCAAAGTTGTCAAATACAGGTGTTTGGTCAGTGACTTCCCGCATCAGACACTGACAAAAAAGCCGTCGTCATGTCAGACTGATGCGCGACCAGTCATCGTTATTGTGTAATGGCACCCGGCGGGTGCAACGTAAGTTAAGGGGGTGAAAGTCTGAGCTGGGCAACTGGGAGTGATGGTGGCTTTCACCCTTGAGGTCGGCATTTGCTTCCTGTAAGACTGTAAAGCCAAACCCTGTTCTTGTCTTCAAAATCTAATCACATGCGTTTGTTGTTGAAGGGAAAAAAAAGTCAATTTGTGGTGCTGTACCAACATAGTGCTTTTATTTTGAAAGAGACTGTATGCAAACTGTACATTTCCTGTAAAAACAGAAGTTTATTTTGAAAACAGACAATGCATGTAACAAGCTGAAGTTGACACAGCGTCCCAGAACGTCAGCAACACACCCAGGGTACCTTGGATGGTCCAGGGGTCGCGTTAACCGGATATTCTCAGTCATTGACCGTTTTTTTTACAACAATGACCGGAAAATCTGAAGGCCGTCGGTCATTTTGACCGGTTGCAATTACTACCCCTGCCCACTTGGCGGCGGAGTGCACAGTCAGTGGTTTAAGTGGCTGCCGTTTTCACACTGCAGAGAAAAGGTCATTCATCTGCTTCATGTAGCGTTGTTGACATAACGCCCTGGACACACCGGACGCGGAACCGAGGCACGGCGCCCAGCAGCGGAGACAGTTTTCAGTCAGCGCCCATGTTAACCTATCTGACTGTCCACACAGGCCGCTGAGCAGAGCGGAGCGCCCGTGGTCCTCATTCACTGCCATTCATATGTTTTTCTGATCTAAGGTCCCATGAGCTTCACCGGAAGGGGCGTGACTTCGGCACTCTATCGTACCAAACAGGAAGTCGGACACAGAAAAGACGAGAGAATCTGGCCAATTTTCAAAATAAAATAACAGCATGCACTGAGGAACGTGAGGAGAAAATACTGTGTTTATAATTTAAAATAACACAACAGTGCATAACCGAACACATTTTTCAATACCCTAATCACTTCATTACAATTTTAATTTTGTGTCACCGAGCCTACAGGCATAACTACATAACGCCCTCGACTCACCGAACGCGTTAGTGACGTGTTAGTGCTGTCTGGTGTGTCCAGGGCGAAACCTAATGGTACGGGTGTGTGGATATCTGTTCATCTTTTCGTTCATGTCCTTATTAATGCACACTTTATAACTTGCTTGTTGGATTTATTAAAAACGAACGAATGAAAACTAAATGTCTTTGAATATCTTTATTATCATTTAAAAACGAAAATTAAAAATAGATTATGACCAGATTTTTATGACCCTGTCGGTCAAAATGACCGGCGACAAAAAAGTCTAGCGCAACGTCTGCCTGGACGTCATATCTCGATGTGGAAATCCGTGTCCAAACGTCGATTTGTGACGAGATTGGAGTGAGGAAGTCAGAGTGTGTTGAATCATCCAAAAGTCTCACGCCAACATCATTTTGATATAGAATAACAACATTTAGTTGTAAGGTATGGAGAACAAAACCCAGCGTCTGCAAAACATATTTTTAACATAAAATTCTAACATCGTTAGACATTCAAAACATTGTCAACCCGATTTCCATTCCAACCAGAATTTAACATCAGTCAGACGTAACAGTCCAGGTGGGTAAATTCAGATCTAAATTCAAGTGCTTGTTTTTAAATTTCAAACCCATTAATTTATTCTGTCTTCCTCCTCAGTGGTTCTTTGAGATGAAATAAAGGTTGATGATGTAAAGTGACAGTTTAAGGGCTCTCTGCTGTGATGTCAGAGGTAACTGTGTTGTCCTCTGGGAAATCAGGGAGTTTGGAGCAGAGAGGGTTGATGAATTTGGGAGGTTTGTCCAATACAGTGTATCTATGTGAAGTCTAAGATCATCACTTTCACTTCTAATAATGACTGTAGCAGACATTTAAAACCATCTGAACTCCTCTATTGTTAAAAAGAGGAGGAACAAGAAAACTATTAGTCTGCAAAGACACTTATTACGTCCACATACAGAGTGATATGTCTCATTTTACACAGAAGGTGTCACAGATTCCATCACATCACTCGTTTTCCCACTTGAACACACTCGTCCCCTGACTGTGTGTCTCATTAAACCCTCACATGTCACTGTGTCTGTCAGAAAGTGAGTGCAAACAGCGGCTGTGCAGCTCAGTACCTATTAATTCTCCATACACACTCTGTTATCAGGGTTTCCAGTCTTCATTCCTTCTGCCCTCCTTTCAGGAAGTGGGACAAAGGAATTTTTTGTGCTGGCCACTGTGATTCATGGCTGACACACACACACACACACACACACACAGTTGGTTTAGCCTTTATAACTTAGCTCATTATTTATGGCTGAGTGAGCCGTTTTAACATGACAACCAGTAGTCTGAGTCACAGGGTTGCTGGAGGAGTCAGGTGGAAGCTGGAGAGGAAACAAAGACCTTCCTTCGAGGAGCCTATGTGACCTCTCCTTTGGGTTTTGTTTAATTTTGAAGGTTTATGGAGTTTTGATGGTCAGCCAAGGGCACATTAGCAGCCTGTGCTGTGTTGTAAAATATGCTTTAGTAATGGTAAAGGAATAGTTCCCCTTTTTGAAGTGAGGTTGTATGGAATACTTATCCATAGTCAGTGTAGTACCTACAGTTGATGTCTGTTTTGGGGCGGCAGTAGCTCTGTCCATTGGAACTTGACCGACAAGACCAAATATGGAGTGTGGACTGGTAGCTGGAGAGGTGCCAGTTCACCTCCTGGTCACTGCCAAGGTGCCCTTGAGCAAGGCACTGAACCCCCAACTGCTCAGGGCACCTATCCATGGCAGCTCCCTCACTCTGACATCTCTCCATTTAATGCATGTGTAGATCATGTTTGTGCATGTGTGTGTATTTCGGGCATGTGTATATATGACAACAGAGTGTATGTATGTATGAATGTATCTATCTGTGGATAAGTACCTCATACAACCCCACTCCAAAAAATCTGAACTATCCCTTTAAACGCGCCCTCCTTACAGTCTGGTTCAAGAATATTCGGATCTGGTTCATAAATCCCTCCAAATCGAGTAGTTTTATTTTGGGTAATGTGGGATTTATTTAGCGCATCAAAAGTGATATCAAACTACAAAAATATATAAAAGTAATATCAGTTATATGAGGTAATTATGCATAAAATAAGGTATAAAATGATACATTAAAAACCCTAAATTGCGCGTCTTTAAAAATCTAACTGGTTTTGTTGTAATGGCGGTTTTGCGCATCATTACCCATGATGACTACAGCTCATGATTCACTGCTCGCTCAGTTTTCCCACTCTGCCTTCCCACCTCTACCTGATGGTCTGCTTGTCTCACCTGAACTCCACAAACCGAGGAGCCGCGGCAGCACCTGGGCGCGTCACAGAGTTTGGAGAGAAAGAGGAGGAGCTTTACGCGCCACGGGAGAAGCTGTGAGAGCGGCGGCAGCAGCAGCAGCGTGTTTCTGCTAGATGCAGTCAGTCAGTGTCGAGCCTCACTGGTCTCAGCCGGCGATCAACGCACTACAGTTTAGCTGCTGGAAAACAGGCAAAGGCAGACTGAAAGAAAAGAGTCGGATTATTTGTTTCTGGGAGTTTTTTTTTTTCACGGAGAAGCGAAGAGAGAATCCAAAGCGATCAGTTTGGACTTGATGAGAAAGTCAAGAAGTCCCGCTCCTGGAGTGACCAGCGGAATATGATTTGAATCAGAGGAACGTAGAAAGCTGTGGCTCACTAACAGGTGAGTTTATCATCTCAACAGTTTCTCCCAGTTTCTTGACTTTTTTCTGTCTTCATTCAAAGTGTCGTTTCTTGCGTAAAAACGCACCATGACACCCTGAAACTCTTCTCCCTCTCCTCCTCCTCCTCCTCCTCCTCGTCCTCCTCCTCTGGATATCACAGCCTGTTTTGAAATGTTGTTTCTGGCTCTTAACACCATTTCACCAGCTTCCCATTTGTGTTTTCTGAGACCTTTCGCCATGAGTCACTTTCCTCTCAAACTGAAAACATTTTCACTGTTTCCCACCGCCTTTTGTCCTTTGAAAACACAGCCGTGCGGTGAGGAGGTACATTTATTGTGTTTGGTGCAGGTGCGCATTAATGTGCCTGCTGTTACTCATAATTTTAGACCAAAACAAGATCATACTCATCTCACCAGGTACTTGATGAAAGAAAACTGACTCTTATATTGTGAAATTCCCAATAACATAAACGTGTGTGTTTTGGTTTCTAAATATGGACTTGTTTTTATCGTAATATTCTGCCATATCTCCAATACCCCCCTCAGTCTCTTATAATATGTTCTGGCACTTATCAGTAATATTATCAGCTCTAAACTTTCATGTGAGTTTCCCTTTAAGCACCTGTTGGGTCTGTCTGTCTCTATTGATTCTCCCTGAAACACTGTGTAAAGATAAAACTGAGCTTTCCCTCTCAGACTGGCTCTAAAAAAGCACACGAGCTGCCATCACTGAGACATCAGTCATAAATCAGTGAAAATGTGCGCACAGGGAATCTCCGTGAGTTTATGCAACACTGTTGGCATAAACCAAACCCACTGTGCTGGATGTTATTGCCTTGTTTTGGTTTACATCTGGGGCTGGTGTTGAAACCACATGCAGATAGGAGCATGCAAATTCACATTTTGCAAATCCTCTGGTGTTTCTCTACCACTCCCCCCCCCCCTCCCCCCTCCCTCCCTACACTAAAAGCATCTCCCAGTGGAATACCACTTAGTTAACTGGGGTTATTTATCATTTTGCAGGATGGTCCCCGTCGCCCTCTCCCTGCAGCCTCTTTTGTTTTAATTGAGTTTATCTCCGCTCCCTCGGGCCCCTGCTGTCTAAACTTAGGCCCGTGGTTGCGTCGCCCTGCAGAGCGGGCTGCTCTCTGGGTGATTCACTGCTTTGCCTCTCGCTGTGGTCACTTGGGAACTGAGCTGAGCACCGCAGAAGTGCTCACCCAGGTCTCTCTGCTGGGTTGTGTTGGGTCAGTGGAGTCAGAAAGTGGAGCGCTGATGATTAGGAGGCTGATATTGAAGCTTTGTGTTACCATAAAGCCCCCAGTCACTTCACTATGAATGGTTTCACTTCTTGTGGTGAAGTGAGTAAACCCTGGTTTTAAACCCTGACACAGTTCCATTTATGAGTCTAAAAAGGGATTTTGATGTCCCTCTTGTTTCTCCTCAGTCGTCCCTATTCAGTGCAGACTGCGCCTTTTTCCACACAGTCACACTCCAGACAATTGAGGCCACCTATTCAAAGATATTTGTGATGGATGTTTTGAGTTCTTTGTGTTCCAGCAGAGACGGTTTACCTACTAATTTTTTCATGTCTCTTATTTTTGGAACAGGATGAATCTCCGCTCGCTTCATGCCGTCATGCTGCTGTGGGCTTTGTGCCCCACTGTTCAGGCCCAGTGTGATAAATCACCCCAGACCAACAAGCTGAACCTCTCCGTCACCTACGAGCTCCCAGCGTTCACTGCAGACTTCCCCATCCAGAACATGGTGACGCTGGATGGGATCATCTACGCCGGGGCTGTGAACAGAATCTACGCCCTGGCTCCGAATCTTACAAAGCTGTCAGAGTATCACACGGGGCCGCTGCTTGCCAATGAGACTTGCGGCCAGAAAGTGACCAGTGGCAGGGAGGACAACCACAACATTGCTTTGGTGGTGGAGCACATTTATGACAAGGGGTTGTACAGCTGCGGCTCGGCAGACAATGGTGTTTGCCGTCGTCACGTCCTGGATGACGGCATTAGCCCGAAAACTGTAGACAAAGATGTCTACTGCTTTGCCGACAAGGTGAATCTAGGAAAGGGTCAACCGATTGATGCGGATGTTGTGGTCAGCCCTTCAGGATCTCAGGTGCTCAATGTGGAAAGCAACGTCATCACGTTCTTTGTTGGGAACTCTGAGATCCCAGGACTAGGAAACATGTCAGCCTCTGCAACAAATCCCCACACCCTTTCACTACGGAAGATGAAGACGAGCCAGAATGGCTTCTCTTTCTTCTCCAACCACTCCTACATGGACCTGATTCCTTCTCTACGTGGAAACTATTACCTGCGTTACGTTTACTCCTTCCACAGTGGACCTTTCACCTACTTTCTCACAGTGCAGAGGGTGAGCAGGCACTCCCAGGCCTACCACACCCGTATAGTCCGCATGTGCTCCTCAGACCTCGTGATCCGCCGTTACGTGGAGATGCCCCTTGAATGCATCAGCACAGATAAAAGGCGACGTCGCTTCTTGGACGACGTCAAGGTATTCAACATCCTCCAGGCAGCCCACGTCACCAAGGCGGGCAATGATGTTGAACTGCAGAAGCAGCTTAAAGTGGAGGAAGGTGATGACGTGCTGTTCGCTGCCTTTGCCCAGGGGAAGCCGAACTCTCCAGAGCCGACCCCTAACTCGGCCGTCTGCGCTATATCCCTGAAACACATCAACAACATGTTCAAGATGTACATGCACAGGTGCAACACAGAGGACCCGTATCACTTCACTGGATCAGACAAGAAGTCCTGCTACAATGTGGTAAGAGCTAGAGGGGCGGGGTTTCTGTGTACGGGTAGCCAATCTAGAACTACTTTGCATTTGTATTTTTGGAGGGAAATTTGAATGTTGCTCTTTCCTTTTTTCTTTATAAACTCACAACTTTATTGAAGAAAGATGGAAAGAAAACATTTGTCTTGCAGTTTCTTTTTCCTGCTTGAGCTTAAACCAGTTATTTAGCAAAAAAATAATTGAATTCTTCAAACAAGAAAATTGATTTAAACTTTCTTGCTGCACTCTGATAAGTTCCTAGGTTCTCCTTTTAATTTAAATTGAAATGAATGAGCCTAAATAATATCTTTGCTGTTCCAATTTTTGTTTTGTTGAGACTAAATTAACTGTGGCTGCAGTTATGTGTGATGCAACGTGGACAGTGGCTACTGCTGTATGAATGTAGACATTTGTGATGCTTTTTATACTCAACAGAGAGACTGATTTATCTTTAAGGTGCTTAGGTATCAGCCCAGACACCATTAGAAAAATATTGGTACTGTATGTTTCTGTAAACCAAGAATATGTTTCATTTGTATATTTCATACATTTCATATCAGCGTTTCTTAAGTGAATGAGGTGGAGGGGATGGTGAAAGGTGTATCACCTACAGGAAAGGCCTGCCAAGCTGCAGACTGCTGTTCGAAACCAACAAACAACAAGACTGATTCTGATTAAACGACTCATTGCTGTTTTTTTACAGCAGCTTATTAGGTGCCAAAAAAGGGTGTTTTGTAGCAACCTGTCGCTCTTTTTCCAGTGACTTTTTAGGCACCAAAAGTGGATGTTTTGTAGCAACTCATCACTCTTTTTCCAGTGGCTTCTTAGGTGCCAAGAGTGGGTGTTTTGTAGCAACCTGTTGCTCTTTTTCCAGTGACTTCTTAGGCATCAAAAGTGGGTGTTTTGTAGCAACTTGTCACTTCCTTTCCAGTGGCTTTTTAGGCATCAAAAGTGGGTGTTTTGTAGCAACCTGTTGCTCTTTTTCCAGTGACTTTATAGGCACCAAAAGTGGGTGTTTTGTAGCAACCTGTCGCTCTTTTTCCAGTGGCTGTTTAGGCACCAAAAGTGGGTGTTTTGTAGCAACTTGTTGCTCTTTTTCCAGTGACTTTTTAGGCATCAAAAGTGGGTGTTTTGTAGCAACCTGTTGCTCTTTTTCCAGTGGCATTTTTAGGCATCAAAAGTGGGTGTTTTGTAGCAACTTGTCACTCTTTTTCCAGTGGCATTTTAGGCACACATTAACCACAGCATTATTGAAATGTAAAGGTTCAACTTGTCCACTACATAATAACGTGTAAATATAACATATCAGTGGTTTGCAGTACAATTACAACTTTTTTTTCTGGCGGCTGTATTTCTAAGTGTGCAGCCTGCATAAACTTGGTAAATTTACATATTTACACTGCATCTGACTTGGCCTGTCTCAGAGTCCAGGTAATATACGTATTTTCTGCACAGTAAACTTATAAATTACAAAATTCTTGGCTCAACATTAACAATTTAGACATAAAGTCATGACCTTTTATCCAGATTCCACAGTGATGTTGACTGAATCCAAAAGACAAAATTACAGTCTCTCCAGATCAGACACCAAGTTAGAGCATCATCGTGATGTGGTTTTACGATGTCTTTCACACACATAAAATACGCCTCTATCAGTCATTGGCTGTGTATACATGGCTTGGTTTTTTTTTTTGGTTTTTTTTTCATCTTTTGGAGTTATAGACCTTGGCTGTTTACTCGCTGCAGACAGGTTGGCTTGTTGGCTGGAGACACTGTCTTAGTAACTGAGTGGTCTCAGGTTCAAGCAGCCAGTGTGTCTACTGGACCTCTGTCCTTGTGCCATTGTGTTCAAGTGTCCTTGAGCAAGACGCTGAAGCATGACCTCCTCCTGACTTTCCAAATGACCTCTGATCCCTCTGTTTAAGAGCATACATGTGAGTCTGTATGTTTCAGAACATGTGAAGACAAAAACTCCTGATTAGAGCACGTTTAATATGATGTTTGAGGTGTTTTAAGGATCCTTGTATGCCTGCTTTACATTCTGATGTTTGCAGACTGATTACAGGAGAGTGGCACATTTTTCATAGTTTTGGCTCAGTGCTGCAGCACAGTGGATTTGAAAAGAAACAATGAGTATGAGGTTTAAGAGTAAACTCTCAGCTTTCATTTGAGGCTGTTTACCTCCATATTTGGTGAACAGTGTAGGACTGTTTGCCAAGTATCATTAATGCTCCTACACGTACAGACAAGAACAGTCGAAAGGTCTCCATTGGTTGGGTCAGTCACCTGACCTCAGTCTTACTGATCATAATTTGTTTCACTTGTTAAAGATCGAGGGAAAAGAGCCAGTGAAACATGCAAAAAGAAGTAATGATTAAACGACATGTCTAACAGAGCATCGCCAGGGACGATACGCATTCGATTACAGTTAGAGCAATAAAGACACATTAAAAATTGTTTTTAAACACATCTTTCCAACAAATTAAAGGAATCAAAATTAGTGTGCATTTTTAAAATGTTTTTCTTTTTTTTTCTTTTATGTTAAGTGCACATTTTTTATCCATTACATCACAAGCTGCTGTGAGAAACCCAGTTGAGATGCATATTCCCAATGTGCTGTATACATGTCCAGATAATACTCCAAAAACCCAGCATATCCCACGTCTTCGGAAAATCAGAAAATGCAAAATCAAAAAAAGGCCAATTCTGAATATCTAAACAGAAAAAACTGTTTACATGACCCGTATCAAATTTGGAATACTGACATACTCAGAACAATAGTGGAATATCAGTGTGCATGTAAACAAAGTCAGCTTATGTATTGTATTGAAGTAACCGTCCCAGTGCTGCTGCGAGCCAGTTGTTACCTTCCCTGCAGTCGCTCACCTCCAATCCATCAACATCGACTCAATCAATCGCTTCAGTCACCTGATCAATAAAGACATGAAGTTAACTGCCGACCACCCTGCCAAAGGGTTCGTCAATATGTGTGCTAACGCTGCCCCCTCTCTGACTTCATCTTTACTTAACCTCAGCATCAGTCAGTCCTTTATCAGCACTCAGTCAGGCCGTGGATTACTTTAGTCTCCTGGATATATTTTACACTCAATGTGTTGTCAAAGGGCAAGCACGTACAGGAGGAACATCGAGCCGTGTGCAAACAGCCAACACACTGCTCAAGAAGACTTCTGTCAAAACAGGGTGTGTGTGTGGGGGTGTGGGTGTCTCAGGGGGTGTGTGTGTGTGTGTTACCATGCAGGCTGTTTTCTGTATCAGGAGCCAGTTTGAACTCCGCTGCATGTGTCTTCATTGTAGGAACATTTATTGCTGCTGTTGCTTGGCAGCAAATGAGAACCCTGCACCGAGAGCATCTCAGATCAGACGTGCGAGTGTTTTTGCATGTTTATTTGATTCATTAGAATGTACACGTTACATCACTGCTAATCATTTTGAAAACCAGGTTGCTACGTTTAAGACATTTCAGTGCATTAAAGCTGTAATCAACCAATGAAAATCTTGGTCAACTGAAATTCTACTTACTCATCAACTAATCGATTGGTCAGTGGGAAGAAAAGAAATCTGCTTGTTATCTCTAGATTAACTAAATTGGCCACAGTAGCATTTCTTTCCTGAGGCCAGCATATTTTTTTGATTCTTTGCAATGGGAGCTCGGTGTATTTACAATAGGGCTGTCAACGAATATTCTAAATTCGAATTTAAATTCGAATTTGAAAAAAAAATGGACCTTCGAATGTGAAAATTGATATTCAATTGTGGAGAAAAAAAAAAAACACCACCGCAGCTGTTCTCTTTGCGAGTGGGCGTTGGCATCAGACGCGCATTTCTCCAGCTTGGTCGACAAGTGCTTCTGCTCCCAGCTGATGTCTCCGTCACCTGGCTTGACACATTCGCTCGCGGCTCGCGCAGAAAATAGACCAGACGCCGAAACGATTGCTGCAGGGTGCGAGCCGGTCACGGTCCGGTGCTTCGAGGCTATTCGCAGCACTTCCGCGGGCGGTGTGGTCACGGGTCAGAGAGGGGGGACGAGTGAGAGGTCCGCGGTCGTTTATAACGTAATGTTACAGATAATTGTTTTATGTGTTTTTAATGTGTAGGTATGTAAATGTTTTCAAAGACGTTTATGTTGAAATAAAAATACCTACAAGTAGTTATGTTTCCTTGTATTAATACATATAGAAGTATGTTTCCTTGTATTAGTTTGCCCTCTTGTGGACATAATGCGGGAAAAAAAAATATTCGAATGGTTCGAACCTATGAGTTATTTTTAGAAGGAATATTCAAACGTCATTTTTGAGCAATTTTGACAGCCCTAATTTACAACATGCTACAAAAGGCAGCAGCGTGTTGAAGGGCTGAGACCGGTGGGTTCGTCCTCTCTGTCGATTCAGCCTGTCCTTTACAGAAGAAGGGCCAGGATAAGTGCTATACCTTGTGCCAACATTTTTACTCCTGCGGATTCTCCGTATCAAACAGCTGCAACCCGCCACCTCACCCAAGTGGTCAGGGGCTGAAAAATAAAGCCAATGCTGAAGTGCCAAAAGCTGCAGTTCCTCTAATGGCCACTTGAGGCTGGCTTCAAGAGCGAGTCGATGCTCATAGACCTCCATTTTAAAATGTCCAGCTTTACAACATTCATAACAACTGTATGGGGACTTTATATAGAACTCACCTGTTAATCTGTATTTTATTAAGACTTTATAATTATGCATATTTGAGGGCGGGGCTGTTTGATTGACAGGCTGTCTGCCGAAAGTGTCCTCAGTCAGATCCACCCCTTGCTCCTACACAGCTCCAACCTCTCATCCAAATATGGTCACTTCTGTCTCCAAAAACGCAACGATGTGACAGCCAAAATGCCAGACTCACGGTAGCTACGTCTATTATTTATACAGTGTGTGATTGCAGCTGAAAAAATGCCTCCAAAGCGCTTCAATGCTTGCTGGTTGCTTGCGGAAGAGCGCCGGGTGTTT